TCATTTCTTTTCTTGTTGGAGCCATTCTGTTATCACTTCAGCCAAGCATGGAGGTTCTTCTAAGTGCGTGCGAGTAATCAGTCGATAGGCTGTCCAGCTGACTGAAGCGTTCGGTGCAGTTGTAAGCTGCTAGGCGAGGTGATATATCCAGCATCATATTACGAATCGGATCAATAGAACGGTCACCTCGCGAGGGAGAACTGTACAAATACACAACCTGACATCAAATTGTAGAAAGGAAGGCTCTGTTGACCGAAACCTTCTCCTAGCGACAGCACGTCACAGTTTTCCCATTCTCTCTGAAGTCTACTCAGAAAGTCCTGACTCAACCTGGTCACATATTAGGAAGCACAAAAGCGGAAAGAGCATTTTCCTTTTCAGCTCAAAGCTTAACCTGATTATTAAAATAATAAGCACATTAATCATAACCATAATATCCATCCACAGTCAGTCTGTGCATAGTAATCTATATTTGCCCTTCTCTTCCTTTGTTACTGTTTGGCTTTCATCAGTGTTTCTGCTGAATAGGAACAAGCTCTCATTTTAAAACGTCACACAAACTTCTTTTTAAGGCTATGTTCCCGTGGATACTGGTTTTTTGTCAACAACCTACTGGAGATTGTCCTGATAAGTCTAGCGGGAACTCTTAATTTTGAACTTGCTTACGGACACAGTGCTAAATAAAGATTCAGACCTCCGGCAAGGATTGTCACCGACCAATTTTAACCCTCTTGTGCTTTGTAACTCGCTTTAATGCACCACGCTCGCGAAAACCCATTTCTGAGAGCCTATAGAAAATGAAATTATAAAAGTGACTGACGAAATTTGCCAATAATTAAAAAAAGGTTTATGGTTTTGCCACGAGCAGGAAAAGTGGTTCGTGTCTCCTGCTTGCAGAGGCAATTATTGCACTGTTCCCTTCGAACTCCACAAAAAACTCTCGATTGTTTTCAATCGCCTGGAGTTGTTGACATTGTTGAACAAGGCGAGGTTTGGGGAACAGCCTACTACGAGGAAATTGAATAGTTCAACGGGCGTAGATGGAGGACTGGTCCAGCAATGAAGACGTGACTTGGGTTAGGTCCGACACATTGGATAACGATCAGGTGACAATGCAGAAAGAGCGGCAACGTGTTCGAGTCTAAACGACCTCTGTACTCCATAGAAGTGAAGGAATGCTGCAGAGACGGTTAAACAAAACTGAGAGGAAAAATGTAAAAGGAAATGCATGTAACGTCGTCAGAAATAGTATAAATATTCAAGTAATACCTAAACCAGCAGGTAAAGAATGTTTTGGATTCTAATAAAATGTGGACCCATTAAACAACTGTCTCGGTGAGACGACGGTGTCTTTCAATCAAGAGACTTTAAAAATGGTTTTATCATGACACTGTTCAGTTCACACAAGAATCAGTGTAAAAGGGGTACACAAATGTACCATGTAAATGAAATCACAGCATTGGGACCTTCATGGATTGTAATTTCATTAAAATCCATGTTAGAATTGGAGAAATGATGACCGTAGCGCATCTTTTATTCTCTTTGTGAACTGGGCAACATGAAGAGAGACGTGACTTTTACTGAAAAATAAATGCAACACAAGAAGGGAAAAGATGCCGCGTGTAATAAACACTATCCCACACCTTTAAGGATAAAAAATGAATCCAGCTTCCCCGTTCATTACTATTTTGAAAAGATTCGAGGTGGTCCCATCCGTCACTGCTTGCGACATAGCAATCGATATATTGCCCCCGGGTGCGAGAAAGTCTCATCACGTTGCATGAAAGAGGAAAAACAGAGAGAGCCGAGTGGTCACCTGACCAGACCCTTGCTGTATGAAAACATCAGAAATAAAAAGAAACACACACATGGGGGTAGAGTGCCACTTCCGCCGATGGCCGTGATGTTTGTTCTTTCAGCACGCCGATATTTGTGTCAGGTCTGGACTTGATATCCTGGAGGGGCAAAAAATGATTTACAGTTGCAGATACAAGAGTTCAATGATCTTCGTTTGAAGATGTCTCTTTGATTTGTTTCGTTTAGTTTTCTTAGCCATTTGTACTAACAGACATGCATGTTTCAACGATATCATTAATGTTTCTTTGTTTTTTCCGTGTTGAAGTCTGGCTGTTTTTCCCTGTTTCTTGTAAAACTCGGGACCCCTATATAGCCCAATCTACGTAGCTCCACGTGCTAGCTTTAACTGTGTAGAACAACCCTCTCATTTAAAGGTGGGTTATTTTTTTTGGCACGATAGCGTTCCGCCTCGCCAGTGACTTTTTCGCAGCATCTAAGCACATCTTTATACAAATTGGAAATACATCATGGACCTACAATTACTGCGCTGCTTTACATGTTTTCAGTATCAGCAGACCCAAATGAGAAATTTGGGGCTGACTCGTCCAAGCTTTCAACCTTGACATAGTTTAAATGAAAGCCTATCGTTAACTAGCATTTCGGGCGCCAAACTTGCGTTTTCTTCGTTCAAGGAGGAAAGTGAAGGGAAACAGCAGACTTCGTTATCGTTAAACGAAGCATTTGTACAAATCCTAGCTCAAACAGTATGACGTATTACGGGTGGGTCGTCCACCTGTCTGCATCACCTTGGTTTTGCTACATTTGTATTATTTGCCCACAATTATTTTGTCTGATCAGCGTGCCAGTTTCAGCCTTTAAACTCTCAAACCTCCTAACTTTATTCACATTCCCTACCCCTCAGCCTCAATTACCATCTCTCGTTCAGCGAACTTCCTTCCTCAACTCTCCAGCTGAAATTAATGTTCCAGTTTTCCATCAGCTCGTGATCAGGTTTTGTTTTGTTTTTTCATCTTCGTGTGCGACATATGGCAACCGGTGGCGCCGGTGCCTTGTCGGTAACATGACCGAGAGGGGCACACTTGAGCCTATGCCATGGCTGCTGTTGCCAGCGAAGCAGTCATGTCAATTTAACCTTTACTGAGCATCCCAGACTCCGGTCTAGAGCTGAACACTTGTGGTGTGGCTATGCAACCAAACTCTGGTAATAAAACAACTCCTTTTTCTTTTCGGCCCGCTCATGTTGAGTCAAGTTGGTTGATTATGAATTCTGGTCACGTAAACCATATTACCGCTGACCTACAAACCGCATGGTGAAAATGTAAGGCATATTCATGCTGCTAACTGAACACAGACATATTGGCGATACGTGGCTCTGTCACCCATTCACAAGCAACATTTTCTACGGACCATAGGAATGACACACCAGACAGCATAGGGTGCCACTGTCTGCAAATATGTTTTGAAATGACATATATGTCTCTGAGCGGGTATAATTTGCCTCAACGTCAGGAGCTCATAAGTCTGTGTCCGATAAATGACGTAGGTCGACCATAGCAACATGTCTGCCCTATGCCCGTGTCAAGTACAGATTTTCCTGGCAGAAACTACTCTGTTAATCAAACTATTTACTCAATTCGGGCGATGCGATGCATTGAGTAAACGTTTCGATAATGGGACATTTTATCATGTTTATAGCGTCACTACAAGTGGACAAGCCATCATGTCACAGACATCTGGAAAAAAATTGCCTGCGATATCGGTGCCTACGTTTGTGATGTCGACCGACTCCACCATCATAATCATAAATGTCTCGAAGGAAATGTAATTTCGAAACCATTTGTGAAACTACTACAACTAGCTCCGTAAGGAACAGCAGATGGCGCTATACAGGTGGACTGTCCATGACAGATAGGGGCAAGACTGGGTAATAGTTGTTTTGGACGATAATATGAAACAGGCTCTAGCCTTTATGGGTGCAGACCACTAATTCAAGTGAGAATTTCTGACCAGCTCATTAGCATTAAAAGTGCCCCCCCCACACAGAATCTTTTGAAAAGGGAGATTGTTTGGCCCCAAAATGGTGAGATTGTGTAAATC